CTGGGGTTGTCCAGGGTTGGGTCCGTCTTCTTACTGTCAGAATTTCCACCAGTTTCTAACTGCAAATGTGATGATGAAGGAAACTTAATTCACATACACCTGGACTTTCAGTTGTGGGTAGCCTTACAGTTTTTTAAACCTCTGGCAGTTCAGCACTTACCTTTATACCCATTGACGCTGATCATTGATCTTGAGCTGCTTGAATTTCAACTGAAAATATTGGGGGGGGGTGACTTCTGAAACTTTTGAACGGTATTTTAAGTTGGGATATTTTGACATTGTAAGGAAAAAATAGATTCCAATATTCTGCACATTTTCAAATAAGTATGACAAAGCTAGGACTAACCTGCTTCATACTCCTCAAGGTTCTCCTCTGCAGTCAGAAGGAGAGACTCCAGCATCGGGGTCTTAGTGAGATTGTTGGCTTCTTTGATGATTTTCTGCTTCAAAGAGGTTCCCCACTTTTCCATCAGTTTTGATTAGATTTCTTCTCCAAACATCATTTGGAAATCCTGTAGCACCTTAAAAAATATGTATAATTAATAACAGTGAGTGAGTGAGTGAGTGAGTGGTAAGATTTTTTGCTCAAACTGGACTTACCAGGCCTTTTGTATCGAGGAACCTTGGGAACACGCTGAGAAGGGTCTCACACTTCTCAGAGTCATGAATCAGTGTTTGCCTGTGCTGAAATGTTTGTTCCATTTTCAAGAAGATCTGCCTTTCATCGGTGCTGTGCCTCAGAAGGGAAATGGCCTCTCTGCACTGGTCACCCTCCAGCTGATGCTCTGCAGTCACAGTCCTTGCAAACTGTGGTCCTCTCTTGCTTGATGGATCCCTACTGGTGCCACTGCTCCTCCTACTGCCACTGCTGAGTTCGCGCTGCATGTTTTTTAATTTCCAAGCGATGTAGCCTTCATTACTTTTGGAATCATAAAAGTGTTCCTACAGAGAATAATATGGTCAGTAAACAAAAGTGTTTAATTCTTAAATAATTATCACAATACCTCCCTAAAACATTTAACTGAACAGAAATCCTCAATACTCACATATCCTTTTTCAGAGTATGGATCTTTTAAACAAGGGAACAGGGTGACAATTCCCAGTGCATAACGTGTCCTTACATCCATGGGTGGAGCAGACCTTAACAAAATCTTACAATTAGTCTTTGATGCAATCCCCCCCC